CCAGTCCAGTCCAGGTGTGGGAGGAGCAGGAAGTGTCCTTAAAGAGGTCAGGTGGGGGGTAAGGAAGAGGAGGCTCAAGGCCAGGCTGGGTGTGGGATTCCCCAAAGTTGGTAAGAGGGAGCCACCCCAGGCTAATGAGGGAGGAGGGAGCTGGGAACATTGCTTCAGCCAGAAAGGGAGATCCACCACCGGTGAGCTCCTCTGAGAACCTGGCCTTGGTGTATGGGTGTGAATGTGTGTGTGTGTGTGTAGGGGGGTGAGTGTGATTGTGTATGGATGTGTGTGAGTTATGAATGTGAATGTATGAGTGTGGATGTGTGTGTGTAAATGCGGTGGTGTGTGTAGATGTGAATTGCATGGGTCTGAATATGAGTGTGTGTGTGTGTGTGTGTGAATGCCTGCAGGTGTGGGGTTGTGAACGTGTGAGCATGTCTGTGTGTGAGCATGAATGGGGAGTGTGTGGACGGCTGTCTGCCCCACACACGCTGTTGCAAAGGGTCTTAAGTTTATTCTCTATGGAACCCTCACTAGAGCCTGAAGATGAAGAGTCCATCGCATTTCCCAGGAGCACAAACTGAGGCTCAGACGTGAAGCCACTTGCCCAAGGCCACAGGGTGAAGACCGGGCAGCAGCCCGTGTAGCCGGGTGGCGGGAGGAGGGGTGTGGGTGTGGGGCGAGTTGGTAAGGCATGCTCAGTGGACAGATGATGCCAGATAAATGGCTTGTCCTGTAGCCTTGGCCTTCCCCATGTTGTACTTTTTCTTTGACTCTATCATGTTCTCTTTTGGTCATGGGGAGGCCATCTCTCCGAGTTGCTCAACAGTATTCCCAGAGCCCTCACCTGGGGCTGGGCTCCAGGACTGTTAGGTTGGGGCAGGCATCCTACGTTGAGGGTGGGGGTTGAAGCCCCAGGGGGACAACCTGTCTTTTTTGAGGTGTAACTTATACATGGGAAAATGCAGACATGTTAAATGTGCACTGGATGGAGTTTTACATCCGCAAGCCCCCAGGTAACCCAACTCAGATGGAGATACAGAACATCCTGTCGCCTAGGAGGGCCCCTCAGGCTCCTCCCTATCGCTGCCTCCCTATAAGGACAGCCTCCATCCCCCGATCTGTCACCAAGGTTTTGCCTGTTTTCAAACATCTGGGGCACATGTCTTTTTGGAAAGTATTTTCCATTTCAAAATCCTGTGTGCATAAAACAAACCCAGACCCCTGCAAACACAGTGCCATGGTTAAGGGTGGGGGCGGGCAGCAGAGATGTTGATGGTACCAGGCTGAGCCCCAAGGAAGTTCGAGGATATGTCGGGTGACCGGTGACCAGGCAGGCGACTGGGGCCACCCTCATCCTCTGATGTTTTGGTGGTTGAGACCACATGGCATTTCATGGCTCCCACTGTCTGTGGCCCCTGCTGTGTCTCCAGCAACCCCCCCATGTCCGTCCAGTGCCCACCCACACCCACAGTGACACACCACTTCCTGGACGGTGGCCCTGAACAAGACACGCAATCTCTCTGTGCTTCCATGTCTTTATTAAACAGAGCATAATCATACTACCTACCTTCTAGGTTTGTTAAGAGGATGGAGTGAATTGATTTTAAATAAGTTAATATTTGTACAGAGTTTAGGAGACTATCTGATACGTAAAAAGTACTTATGTAAAAATTAAATAAACAAACCTCAGTCAAATTTTGGCTGGTGGGAATTTGCTAGAACACGCAGGGTTTTTCACAGTTGGGTGTTAGAATCTTGTGGAGAAGGCAGAGATTTTCCTGACGATCATGTAAAAAGGGCCGGTGGGGCACTGCAAATGACCTCTGGGTCCTCATATGGGGGGGTGGGTGGGTGCGGTGGGGTTCTGTGGTTCTCCTTTGCACAACGCAGGACCAGAGGAGGTACCCGATAAATGCCAACTGCTTGACTGATTTCCTGGCGGGCAGGAAGAGGGTCACTTGGCTCTATCAACTTTCATTTTGCCTGCTAACCTGCAGCCCTGGAGATCTGGGCCGTGGAGAAGGCGGGCCCAGGTGCTGCAGGAAATACAGCCCCCAAGTCTCCTTGCCCGGACACGCCGTCGTCCGTCATCCCCCCACCTTCCCAGAAAACGCAAGGCACTTCCCGGCCCATTCAGCCTGGATGCTTGCCTTGAACACCTCATCCCCTCAAGCAGGACACAGATTTCCCAGGTTGGGCCCCGAGGGAGGCTGAGTTCTCTGGCACAGTTCTCTGGTCCGGCCTGCGAGGCAGGTGACTGCCCTGAGCCTCGCGAGAGGCTCCTTTGCCTTAGATGCCTTAGATCCCTGAACACGGGATCAGGCCAAGGGCTCGGGGATGATCCCAACGTGGGCTTGTGGACCCAAGTGCGAGTCCCAACTCGACTGCGGGTTCATTGCGTGAGCTCTGCCAGGTGACCCGCGTCTCCTGCGCCTCCACCTTCCTTCCCTGCCAAATAGGCACAGCCACTGCTATCTGGCCGCTATAAGTGAACGAGGTGGTAGGATGTGATGAGGAAGAGCCAGAATCTCTGGGTTCAAAGCCTTGCTCTGCCATGGAACACTGGGGAACAGACCTGGCTTCTCTGGGCCTCAGTTTATTCATCCATAAAATAGGGATGACAAGAGTTCCCGCCTCGTCCGGTGGTTGGGGGGATTAAATGAGGTAAGGACTGTGAGGCGCCGGTGCGTTACTTCCCATAGGGCCCGGTCAGTGCCCATACGTGAGGTCTCAACTGTTGACTCAGGGGTTAGAAGCTGCGCACTGAGGTCGGACAGCTGGAGCCTGAGACTCAGTGACAGCACTCGTCAGCTGTGTGACCCTACATAGATTCTACCTCTTCCTTGTGCCTTACCTATTCATGAGGTCGGCAATATTTCCTACCTCAGTTGTGAGGATTGTAGGAGCTCATCAAGGTCAAGTGCTGACACACAGTAAGCACCACTTGCTGTTAATATCATATGACCCTCATTGTATAATTGTCATTAATATTATTAATATTCCAATGGAGGAGATGTAAGGAAGCGAACATTCATTGAGCACCTTTTATATGCGAGCACTTGACATGAACCATCTGGAGAGGATATTCTAGACCGAGCACCGGATTTCCGCAGCCAGTCGAGGGGGAAGTGAGGTTCCCAGAGGGTGACCCACTTGTCCAAGATCCCATAGGTGGGGAGGGGCGATCAGTCCCAGCTGTGCAACATCTAGGGCAGGGAGGAAGGACCAACACTTAGTGAAGGCCTGCCACGCACCAAGCATGGGGCTCTGCACCCCCTGGCCTCCTTCGATCTGCACAGGAACCCTGGCTGGGGGTACGACTGTCCCCATTGTGTCGATGACATGATGAGTCTGAGTCTCCAGGAGGAGGCGAGCTGTGTGAACTCTGCAAAGTGGCAGAGCCGGGATTCAAACGTGGTTGTCTGTTGGAATTTGGTTTACGCAGGTGTCTGGGGCACAACCTTCCACCGCTCTGAGCCAGGGGAAACAAAGTCTTTGTGTCTAGAAAACCCAAGCCCTGTGGTCTCCAAGCTCCGGGGCCACACACCACCCTCTCCCAGGCTCTTGGGGACAGGGGGTCACATGCGCAGAGATAAAGACACTCAACATCCAGAGTGGTCGTTGTTACCCAGAAATCTTTATTACAAAAATATTTTGCAAGCCAAAAAGTTTAAGTTGCAACTATATACAAAATGGGGCCTGTTTCCTTCCTAGCAGTCTTAAAATAAACTCCCGAAACCACGCTCCTTCCGCAGTGTTGTTTCAACCTCTTCCCTTTCCTGGGCTTCGATACACAAGGTATGGGAATCTCCAGGCTGCCAGGCCGAGCTAAAGCTGCACAACTTCCTTGGCCTCGTTCCCTTACTCCCCTTCCAAAATTCAAAATAAAATAAAATTAAAATGGCACCAAGAAAACATTCTCTTAAAATTCTGTGTGTATGTGCATACGTGTGCCCGCTTGACACATGTGCCTTCTCTGGGCAGAAGCGAGGGAGACTAAGGTTTACAAGCCAACCTTTTGGAATTTGGAAACAGCCCGAGCCAGGTGGCTGGGCCACTGTGCTCCCACATGCCACAGAGAAACTCTGGCTCATCGGGCCAAAGCTGCCCACATGGCCTGTTGGCTCAGCTGCTTCCTGGATGCCACCATGTAAAATGCCAAATCACTGTCCCCAGAGAACTGGGTCTGAGCTGAGCTCAGTGTTCCACGTGTAGGACCTGCTGATGGGCAAGATGGCTCAGCTTCTCATTCTGATGGCCTGGAATCCCTGGGGCATCGAATGGCTGGACCGAAGAGGCATTCGGAGGAACCCCTCAGCTCGAAGAGTCGGTCAGTTATACGTGGAGGCTAAATAAACAGGGCTTGCTACACGTGCTGGCCCTGGGCCCAGCCAGGCCCCCACTCCCCATCAGAAGGGTGGCGTGGGGGGGGGGCCAGGGGTAATAGGTCACAGCATCTGCCCAACCTCCTGGCTGTCTTGGATTTATTCCAGTTTGATCCCGGAAGGGTTTGAGAGCAGAAATAGAAGATTCCTCTTGCAGGGGTCAGCTCAGAGAGCTGGAAGGGGGGCAGTCGCTAAGGGGGGGGCATCTTTCCTCTCTCCTCTTTCTGGATGAGAAGACTGAGGCCGCAGGTCTCCACAAGACTGCACTGTGAAGGACGCAGCCTGGAGACAGCCTGGGCAGGTTTGGGCTTCGCACGCACGCTGGCGGCGCGGAAGGCAGCAGTACCAGCCACGTGGCTCAGCTGAGGGCATGGCCACTTTCGTCCGGGAGAGAGACTAAGGCTAAGCGTCTCCATGGAGCAGCCACACGGCAACCTTCCTCCCCATCCTCAGGGTCTGGGACGTGAAGGAACTCCGTTTCTGCTGTAAGAGGATCCCTCCAGGACCACCAACTGGTAAACCTTAGACTGCACAAGACCCAACCAGGGACTTCAACACACGACAAAGAGCCAAAATAACGTTGCTGTCGTTTTAAGAAAAAACAGAACAAAACACCACAGATCAGATTTTCTAACACCTCAGTTTCAAGATTGCACATTTCACATTTCTCAATAATTTACAGGCGTCCACAGCGAGATGTTGCTGAGTTAGTGCTAGCTGGAGGAAGCAAGCTCAGGTCTAGAAAGGAGAGGAGGGGGCCACGTGGAGCGTCACGGTTGGGATGATGGGTCCTCAAGGAGTCTCAGAGGGCCACCAGAAGGGTTTTGTTACTCAGTCCTTGATGGTGGTGGTGGTGGTGGTTGTGTGGGAGTTCCTTGGAGGATCCTCCCCTCCCCAAGGGCTTGGGCCTCATCAGTCCAGGGATGGGGAGGCTAGGACTGTTGGCAGCAATCTCACCAAGTCTTGGGATGCGTGTCCCATAGGTTTTTTTTGTTTGTTTGTTTTTTTCCCAGCTTCTCCATGGATGGGGCAGTTCAATCTAAAGGGAACATTTTCCCCAAGCCCCAGTTGGGTGGTGGTGAAAGGAGATGGGGTTGTCTCCCTCCTCACCCTGGAAGATCAGGCTGCAGAGCATTAAGGGGACAGTCAGGGTCTCCAAGACCATGACCAAGACCCACATGTCGATGGAGACAGGCATGAGGGTTCTTGGACCCCCAGCAACTCTGGCCAGTTCCCAGGTCGGTCCCCCGGGTGGTCTGGCACCATCGGCCTCCATGTGTGGCGATGTGGGGGGACGGTGGCTGCCCTGGAAATGCTGGAGAGCCAAGTGGGTTGGGGAAACAAGAGCCAGCCTCATCCTGGAGTCCCTGGGCCTGCGCCATCCCGGCCCTCTGGGAACTGGGCTGGCTGTCCCCATCACGGCTGTCCCACGTGGGACAGGAAGGCTCGTAAGGACAGACCCTAGAGACGACCACGGTCCCATTCACTTCCTCTGGACCTGGACGCTGGCATACTCCGAGTAGGATGGCTCGGGCTTGGGGGCTGGCTGCTTGGGGGCCCGGTTGAGGTGGACCATGTCCAGGTCCGCGTAGGTGAGGTTGTCCTCGGATGCGGGCGGCGGGCCGGTCTGAATGCTGGCATACTCTGTGTGGTTGTTGGGCTCGGCGGCCCGAGGCGCAGACTTCTTCCCCTTGGGCAGGTTCAAGTCTGCATAGGTGATGTCATTGTTGTCCTGGATCTAAATGTGGTGGAGAGACGTTCACTCTGGAGCCCCCAGCCACTCATCCACCCACTGGCACCAAGGCTGGATGCTTCTGTCCGTCCTTGGGCCCCACTGGTTCAGCCCTAAGTCACGACCCGCTCCTCTCTGGCCCAGGTTACCTGCCTCCAGCCTTACCCTTCCAATCCCCACATAGCCTGAAGAAGCTTCCTGAACTCAGCCAGCCTGGTCACTTCACAGAGCTGCCTCAGTGTCCCTCCTCCCAAAGCTCTGTCCTGCCTTTTCAGCGTTCTTCCCTTTGCCTGGTGTCCGACCCCCTTCTCCTCGTCATGAAACCCAATTCACCCCATACATTCCAGCTCAAGCACCGCTTCATCCTAAGACCCTGCCCTTGGCCGGCTCCAGGGCTCCCACGCTGTGCTTCCTCGACCCATGCTTCTCCACGACCCAGGACTGACTCTGTCTGGGGGTCCAAGTAGATGCCGACCCATAGTGGGTGGAGATAGTCATTCACTTACTGGTTTCTTCAATACATATTCACTAGGTATTTGTTAGAATGCAGGAACCAAGGCCAGCATTGAAGAAGCCCGATCAGTGCTGAATGAATGGATGGATGGATGGATGGATGGATGGATGGATAGCAATTTCAGCCTCATTCAGGGTGAGGCTGGGGTCCGGGAGACAGAAGAGAGGAGCGCGTAGGAATGAGCCCCCAGGGAGCAGATGCAGTGAGACTCGGTTGGGCTCTCTCTAGCTAAGGGACTTTGGGCAATTCACTTAACCTCTCTGGGTCTTGGTTTCCCCATCTATAGAGCAGGAATATAATAGTGTCTATTTCCAGGGTCCCTGTGAGGATCAGATATGATCACCCAGGTAAAGCTCTTAGAACAGAGCCGGGCACATACTGAGTGAACACGTATGTTCGATAAATGTTAGCCATCATCCGCCATCTAGCCAACCTAAAGGTCTCCCACGTGCTCATCATATCACGCACAATGACCGCCTTAAAATTACTCATCACGAATTACAAACTCTGCTCCCTCTGTGCCCTGCAACTAGACCATAGAAGCGGGGTGGGGGGGGGCGACAGCAACCACTCCCCCTGGTTGGTGCACAGTGATCCCCACAGAGCTCGGCTCCTGAGGGCTTGGAGGCTCCATGCCATCACACGGAGCACCTTCTCTAGGCCCAACTCAGCCTGTTGTTGGAATTACTTACCCCATTTTACAAGTGAAGAAACTGAGACCCAGAGAGGTTAAGTACTTGGGTCAAAGTCACACAGCTGGAAAGGATCCAAAGTCTGTTGGACTCTAGCGGTGGTCTCACCACACAGCCCCTCAGTCTCGAACCCTGCACACTCCCTCACTTCCCTCTGGGAAACCTACAGCAACAGCATTAAATTCCCTCCCTGGCAGAGGCTTGCACCTGGCCCTGGGGATTCTAAACACAAGGCTGCGAGTCCACAATGGCTGGGTTGTGACTGTCTTGCTCACCACCCAGGGCCTGGCACACAGTAGGTGCTCAGGAAGTCTTGGCTGGCTGTAAATTCTGGGCAGGTTTCAATGACCAGTTCAATGACCCCTGAAAGTCCCAGAAAGAAATCCAGAGGTAAAATGACTGGGGACAAGGCCTTGTTTTTGAATTACCCCTCGAGCTCGAGCCCAGGGCCACTGGGGGCTGACCGGGTCAGGAGAGCAGGCCGCGGTGTTTAGGCCTACAAACGCTGTGCCTTTTACCAGGCCCGACTCTCTACAACAGAGTGTGTCTAAAACGATGACAACAGCCCGGGAAATGTCAAGGACAGCTCTCGGGTTCCGGGCAGGGCCTGTCTCATTACAAGAGGCAGCCCTCTGCCTCCAAGGTCTGACAGCATCAGCCAGTGAGAGAAGCAGGGCTGGGTTTCTCGGAATCAGGCCAACCACGTTGCCTGCCCAACTGCATCAGCAGTGTTGAAGAGAAGGCGCTAGAAAGGGAGTATGCCCTTGCACGAGGCAATTAGTGAGCAAACTATGGACAGTGCCCCCTGGAGTTGTACAATGGGTGTGCTGGGTCAAGGAGACTGTGACACTCTCCTGGCTGGGGCAGAGGGAGAGAGTGCACAGAGGACGAAGGGGACATCAAGAATGCCAGGCTCCCCCACTCTCCCCATCCCATACCCCCTCCCCCGCTCTGGGGAAGGAGTCTTAATTTAGAGCAGGATCTGCAACTCTGGTTGAGGCAAGGAAATCACACAATCAAGATTCCCAGGAAGGGCATCTCACCAAAGACTGTACCTGGGTTATTTCTCTGGTGTTCTTCTCGGGCTCATGCAACCTAAAAAGGAAAGAGACGCACAGATAAAAATATCCTCACTAGCTCCAGTGCTCATGCAAATTGGTAAGAATAACATTTCGTTCCATTTCCTATATGGGTGGAGCAAGTCACAACAGAAACACAACTGTTTATCAAATGTTTGGACCAAAGGGTCAATCTCACTAAGAAGGAATTTTAAGCAGTGCACTCTTTGTTTTTTTTTTTTTCCTAACCTAATTTTTCAGCAAGGATCTTTAAAAGTGAAAATACTGGGTGCTGGGGAAGGTATGGTGAAACAGACACATTCATACATTGCTGGCGGGAAGGGCAAACCCGTATAAGCCTTTTGGGAGGCAGCTTGGCAAAATCAAGAGCTTGGAAGGTGTCCTCATCTTTTGACTCATAAGTGCGCATTTTGGGGGGAATTCAAAATATAGAAAAAGCGTTATGCACAGAGGCATTTGTCACAGAGCAGGATAGGGAGGAAGGTTTATATGTTACAGCTCTGCCAATTGGGACTGGTTAAGGAAATTAGGATAGGTTCATAGATAAAGATTTAAAAGGTTTATGAGAGTTTTTTTATTAGAAATGATTACATTAAAATGATAAGCGAGAAGGCAACATTCTCTATGGAATGATCTCAATTCTAAAAATGTATGGATAACACGGGAAGGAAATATAGTAAAATGCTAACAGCAGTGGTCTTTGGAAGGTTTTTTTTTTTCTTCCTTTTAGTTCCCGTATTTTCCACACGTTCTATATTCTACACATCTAGGTCTTAGCATTAAAAAAAAAGAAAGAAAAGAAAAGAGAAGGCACAGTGTCCTGGTTAATCAAAGAAGCTGTTCATGCACTTGATTCTGTAATTGGAGGCCGTGGCTTGGCTCACTGCTGGGTCATGGTCAAGGTGGTGAGCACACCAGAGCCACGGTTCTGTAGGAGTTGTGTAAATTCTCAGGCTGGCAACTCTGGGGATGTGAGCCTGGATAATGTCAGAAATGAGCAATGGGGCTTGGCAGCAGGGTTATTAATGGATTTGGCACGAGATCTTGGCTCAGAAAGCAGTTCTGGGGCATGACTAGGCCCACGTGGCCACAGAAACAGACCTCTGGGGGCAGGGACACCGGCTGTTAAGGAAGATCACGAAGATCTATCCACACCCCTACTGCTTCCAACGCTTCCAAGGCTCCCCACTGCCTCTGGTTCTAGTCATCACTCATCAACCCATCGTAAGCCCCGTGTGGTCTGGCCCCTGTGGACTGCCCCAGGCCCTTTCACTGCTTGACCTTATTTACCCACATATCCACCCACCAAATATTTCACAACGGCTACTCAATGAGATATACTTTGTGTCAACAATGGCCTGGAAAGCCGCCCTCAATCACTTTTCCTCTTGGTTAACTTTTGTGCATTCTTCAAGACTTAACTATGGTGTCACCTCCTTGGGAAAGCTTCTCTGACAGAGCTGGGCTGGCTGGGCTGCCCCTCCAGGATACCTTCAAGCCTCCTTGCCTATTTTCCTGTCTGCCATATGTGTCCATCTGCTGCCTACCTGTCTTGCTTCCTCAGCCCATGGGTACAGGTGTGTAAAAGTGACTTGGAATGAAGACATTCAGAGTGCCCCAGGGCCTTTGCATGGGCAGCCCTCCTTGCCTCTTCATTTGCTTCACTGCTTCTCTTTCTTTGGATTCTATTTCAAATAGTCCTTTCTTTGGGAAACCTTCGCTGAACTTCACATTCCATTCTCAGAACACTGGGTTCCTCCCTTTCAGAGCAATATTGCAGATGAGACACAATTATCCGTTTTGCTGTGTCTGTCTCTCATCGCAGCATGGCACTGCTATTACCCATCCGTGTGCTCAGGCTAAAGAAATGGGAAACATCCCTGATTCTCCTCTGTCCTCCTTAACAACCCATGTTAAGCCGTCACAACTCTTGTTGACCCTGCTTCCAAAATCCATATCAAACTCAGCTACCCAGGTCCCCTCCACCATCCTAGCTCCCTGGATTCCTGAAGAGCCTCCCCCCTTGTGTCCCTGCTTCTGTTCCCACCCCTCAGCGTGCCATTCACCACATGGAAAAGGCATAGGTGAGGTCATGTCATTTTCGGCTCAAAACCCTCAACCCCTTGTCAGCACACAGCGAGATCCATCTCCGTATCCAGAATGGCGCACCTGCGCGGTCGGCCCCCGCTGAATGCTCTAGTCTCCCATCTCTTCCCCTTGCCTGTTCCAGCCCAGCTGCCCCAGCCTCCTCCGTGTTCCATGAACATGTCCAACTGCTCCTGCCTCGGGGTCTTGGCACTGGCTGTCCCCTCTGCCTGGCCCATTCTTGCCCCAGATATTCCCATGGCAGGAACCTTCCCAGCCTTCAGCTACCTTCTGAATGTCACTTCTGTACACCAGCTTTCCCTGACGGCCCACTGCACCCCACCCCCTGCTCTGCTCCCTGCCTAGCTCTATTTTACCTAGCCAACACCTGTACCACATCGTGTATTAACCTCCCACCCAGCTTGTTTGGTGACCCGCCTCCTGATGGATCGTGGGCTCCACACTAGAGTCCCAACACCCGGTAACAGGCTGGTGCACTATCAGTACGCCCTAAGTATTTGTTGAATGAATGAATGAATGAATGGACATTGAATCAAAAGGGCCACAAGACCAGGGCTGGTGTCTTTTTTGCTCTCCTTTGCAACGCCCCAGCTTAAGACCGGGCACTGAGCTGGGCTCAGTTCAGATGAATAAATGAAAGAATCAGAGAAGCCCTAAATATTCCAAGAATAAACGCAGTGAATGCCTGACAAGTGGACAAATGGCTGACTGAATGAACCCCAGTGCCCAATTAAGGGAGCAGAGACCTATTTTTCTCTCGTCTGAGCTGAGGAAGATTACAGACAATGTTCTACCGGTACGCCCCTAACCCAGGGAGTTAGAGATACCCAGTCCCTCCACCAGCCCTGCACCTGAAGGGCTCTCTGAGCTCAAAGCAGTGGCAAGCCCCCCTCCACCCTCCCCGGCACCCTCTCCAGGGTGCTCAGTTGTTTTCCACACCCGCAACTTCTGGAAAGTGATCCCAGCCAGCTGACTGAAGGTGGCCGCTGCATGGGAACCGCCATCCCCACTCAGCAGCTAGCGCTTTGGTTTAGGGAGATGAAAGGGAGCAAGCAATCTCACGGCTCCCTTGGTAGGTTCATGATGGAAAAATAAAACACAGGCAGAAAATGGTTGGCTTCTCTGGGGAAGAAAAAATAGGCAGCGGGAGGCATGAAAGCAGTGATGAGCGGCACCAGCTGCCGTGGCAGGGAAATCTGGGCTGGAGCCGGAGTTCTGGTACTTGCCGGCTGTGGGGCCTTGGGAATGTCACACGACTTCTCTGAACCTCGGTTTCCTCTGCATACACAGGGACAAGAATAACCTTCTAGAACAGGGGTTCTCAAAGTCTGGGTTGGAAGCAGCAGCATCAGCACCACCTGGGAACTTGTTAGAAATGCAAACCCCGCATCAGAAACTCAGGGGGAGAAGGCACCCAGTAATCTGGGTTTTAACAAGCCGTCCAGGAGATTCTGCCACACGCTCGAGTTTGAGAAGCTCTGTTCAATTAACATGGGGTGATAGTAAATCAGAGGGTTTTTTCCTATAATTAAAATTACCGTTGGGCCACTCGAGGAAAAGATATAGATCGGTTCCCGGGACGCAGTAAGTGCCTGATGGATGTTAGCTGCCGACGCTGTCGTTACTATTATTGACGCTGTCCTTTTCTTTTGGGAACTTATTGTCTAACTGGGGAGTTGAGACAAGCAAAAAATAATGACAACAATAAAAACAAAATAAAAAAGAGCAATCCTCCTGTATCTGAGGCCGTGAAGGCACCGAGGAGAGTTTTAGGGACTCGGAAGGGGAAGAGATTGCGGATTGGGGCGGTGGTTTGGGATGGCATTCATTCATTCCTCATGCATTTGGTTCATTCCGCAAACCTGAACTGAGTACCTATTCCATTCCAGGCATGGTGCCAGGTTCAGGAGAACCTGAGGGAAAGGATCCCTGCCCTCAACCGGGGGTGGGGGGTGGATTATAGTGTGGGGCAGGTGCAGAGACAGCTTGAATACACTGTGGTGTCAATGCAGGGGCACCAGGAGAGGTCCCAGGACAGGCCCCTGTCCCTGGGGGGAGGGAAGGAGGTAAGCAGGTGAAAGGAGGGGTGCCCACTAGAGCTCCTATGTTGCACAACTCCAGGGGGCGCTGTTCGCGGAGCCCATGGTGACGGCTGCCCCCCCGGGCGGGGTGGAAACCCTGGGTGGTGCGGGAGCGCATCTCAGGGAGAGGGCTGGGAGACGAGTGAGGACACAGCGTGTGGGAGGCTGTGGAGGGAATACAGCGTGGCTGAGTCACAGAGTGTGAGGGCTGAGGAGTGGCCGGAAGTGAAACTGTCCAAGTCAATGGGGGCCGGACTACGAGCGGCTTGAGGGCCTCAGTGGCACTGCTGGACTCTGTTGAGGGCCGTGGGGAGCCACTGAAGGTTTTCAAGAAAAGGACATAAGTCAAGTCTGGGGGTGCTTTGGGGGGGCTGTCGGTTAAGCGCCTGCCTTTGGCTCAGGTCATGATCTCAGGGTCCTGGGATCAAGCCCCCTGTCGGGCTCCCTGCTCAGTGGGGAGCCTGCTTCTCCCTCTCCCTCTGCCCCCCACCCCCACTGCTCATTCTCTCTCTCTCTCCCTCAAATAAATAAATAAAACATTAAAAAAAAGAAAAAAGTGAAGTCTTGCCCTTGGAACGAGTGTGCTTGGTGCATACACACACACACCCCACTCCCATTGCCCCCAACCTTGGGACTGTCCTTGACTCTATAATCCATCAGCAAGTCCTCTGGACTCTACCTCCAAAACATATCCAGAATCTGCCCCTTTCTCAGCCATCCCTTCACCATGGTCCAGGCTACCAGCATGGGCTTTGACCACTGCAGCGGCCTCCTCCTGGGCCTCTCTGCCTCCATCCTCACCTCCTACAGCTTGTTCCCCACATGCCACGCACGGTGGTACTTTCAAAACACAAGTCAGATCATCTCCCTCCTATGGCTCCTCGTTCCACTGGGACTCAAACCCTAGACCGCTGGCCTCCACTCTAGAACCTTAGTTCCTGCTCTGCAATTCTGAAATCCACAAAGCTCTAAAAAAAAAAAAAAAAAAAAAAAGAAAAATCATCTCCCTAAATATGTGGTCCAGGGATGCCCAAATCCCTAAAAAAAAAAAAAAAAAGCCTTGCCCGGATTTTACTGTGATTTGTGCACCTTCATCTGAAGTTCCACTCAACATCACTTATAAAGAT